TGTTCTATGCCGCCCTNTAGATCTCGCTGCACCAACAGAAGGCGCCGCGTATATTGCTCACGGTCGTCACCTGCTTCGTCGTCTGCTACCTGCCGCTGTTCGCGCTCAACGTGGCGACGGCCGTGCTACAGTGGCGCACCCTGACGCCGAAACTCGACCGCGTCGCCTCCATGCTGCTCTACATGCACTGCTTTCTCAACGCCTGCTTCTACGGTTTCACAAACCGCAACATCCAGCGCACGATTGGCGCCGCTGTGTCGCACTGGCGCAGCGCAGGTCGGTGCCGTCGTCCCGGCGCCGACGCCGACGGCGACGCCTCCCGTCACGTGTCCGCCGACTCCCGTCGCCAGTTCTGGCTCGAGCGGAGTGTCGACGATCTCTCTCATCGACCTCTTCCGGCGGATACAGAACGTTAAGGGCTGCCACGAGCCAACGGCGGAGACGACGTCAATCCAGGTCACCGAAAGGTCGAGCATCACGGTCGAGAACTCAGTGCACGCGGTCATCAACGTGATCACGCCCATCGCGAGCACCTCCCGCCAGATGGCGTGCTTCGACAACAACTCGTTCGCCGACAACTTGTTCGCGAACAACTCGTTCGAGTCGGACGACTTCAAGATGAGCGGCCGACGACGTTACGCCGGTGACGCAGAGCGGCATGGTCGCGTCGGTTACTCTCGACATCCCGTCGTGTGACGTCACGAAGTGCGCCGAGGCGGACCTACGTGTCGAGAGCGCCGTGGCGTCGTCAGTCTGTGAGTCAACTTATTCCACGTGACAGTCCGTCGTCTGTCTGTCACCGTGGTATGTAGCGACGTGATAAGGATCAGACGGAGGATGATGGGGGAGAGGGGAGCTTACCGTTCGACTTCGACTTCTACTCGATTTTTTATAATTAATTCTATAGTTAAACGCAAGTGGCGCTAAATGAAACGACGACAAATCCGAGGATCCGACAAAAAAAACACGAACCTGAGATCGATGATGTAGAAGGAAGCTCCGTATCACAGCTGGCTCTGTCTCGGGCATCGCATCCCCGACAGCAAGAAGTAAATCCTCATCCACTGCGCGTTAATCGACTGGTGACCGGACGGATATCTCCCTCTCACCGTCTGCTACCGGACCGACGATGTCGGCGCGTGCGTGCACCATATGCATGAGAGACGCTCACGTCACCAGTAGTGCGTGCGCGTTGCCAAGAACGCACAAAGGTGCGAAGAGCGCGTTAGAATGAAAGAACGTACGTCAATGTGAAAGTTTTACACGCTAGAATGCCGCCGGTTTACAGGCCGTAACCTAAGGCCAAGTTAATAAGGTTGAAGTTTATTGTTTATATTTAAAAATGCTTTACTTAAAACTGCCCGATGACTTCGGCTTGTAGCGCCCCTGCGACCCCCCCGCGACCGCCCTGCCCCCCTGCGAAACCCGCCCCCTTGCCGACTCTGCCCCCCCTTGCCCCCCCCGCACCCCTGCCGCCCCTGTGTCCGGACCTGCGACATTTAGGCGCCACCTGCGAATTGAAATATAGAAATTATTATTAAAAAATAATTCAACCTTTTAACTTGCGCCCCGTGGCAAAATCATCATCCA